TTATAACCTCCAACTATGTTTTTTTGGGCCTACTCCTTGTTATTTTTAGTCTTTTATTAGAACCAACTCACATCTTCTAATAAGTAATGGGTTTGTGTTGCATATGGCCAACCTATCTAAATCTACTTTCTCACATTTTATCGCATATTGAAGCCGCATGTAAGTTTTCCATAATGTATTTTATTTCGAATTGTATATCTTCTTGTCTCGGCCTTTCCCATTACGGTTGTGAAAAAAAAATTAGGATTTCAAGACTTTAAAAAGTATATATTGTAACAAATTATCTAGAGCATCTATTTCACCCTAAAAATAAGTGTTACGGATCTGTAAGATTCTATACCATTTTGTGGGTTTCAAATTTCGTAATGATTGTTGGAAATTGATTTTAGTGACATCATAGAGATTTCTAATGCCCAAAGTACTTTTAACAAAAATTCGACTATGTTTTCATAAAGCGCATGCTATAGAAAGAAACCTGCATCCTTTAGTTATTGCATTCATAATAGGAGCAATTGAGCTTGATTGAAAAAAAACCTCTACCATATCCAATATAACGGCCGTTATGTTCCAAATCTGTATTGACCATTTCATCCGCTAAGAATCGTTTACCTTTTAAGAAATAACCAATATCCAGGAAATGAAAAAATAGCGCGCCCGTTGTATGCCTTATAATTCCTGTTATGTGTGTTATTTTTAAAAAAATTTCAATGCACTGTTATTTTTAAAAAAGATTTAAATTTATTTTATTTTCAATGCACCGTTATTTTAAAAAAAGATTTAAATTTATTTTATTTTGCTGATTTCAGCAATGTTCAAGATACTGGCATTAAGGTTTGGATTGGCTAAGCCCAAACAGATATTGTAATGATTTCAGCCAGTTAACAGAGCTTAAAGTGGGAAAATAATTTCATGACATCATTTTTCAAATCATGATGGTTAGCTGGAGATATCCTCAGAGATGATATAACGGTGGTGCCATCTTGTCCGTCAAATTTAAATCAGATGGTTGTAAATATATTATATTTAATTTGACAACTAATGGTTATGAGTGATTGTGACTTCCTATAATAGCAAATGGTCTCATAATATGCAATCATTTTAAAAGACTATTATTTGATTTAAAAAAAATTTAAAATCAGGTGTAACGCATTTATATCAACTCCTTGTTTAGTATTCTTAAAAAGCAATGTATCGGCCTTTATCGTATCTATAAAAGCTGCTATAAGCATTGATGTCACCAATATTTGGCGTCAAAACATAGACTTCATGATGTATTATTATTATCATTATTTATAATATTATTACGAAATATTATCAATATTAATATCATTTTATTACATTATTATTATTATCGTATAAAATATCATCAATATTGGTATTATTATATTTTAATTTAATAATATTATACTTCCAAAATCTGGTTTTACATTTAGATAAATCAAACAGGGTGTTTGTTAGTTAATCTTGACGTTACCAAACAATATTATTCCTAAAACCATATTTTACAAATATTAGAATTTGTACGTTTAGGATTTGATGCATAACCAAATTTTGCAAATACCACCTTCAAATGACTCATTTGGATGCCTCTTGCGTAAATATATCTCTCTCTTTCATGTGCACATTTGGGTCTACACTGTAGTACTTTGCGTGTTGCCATAGTTATAGTTTAGAGAGAGATTTAGACTCTAAAGAAAGAATAGTAAGCAAGGTTGGTGGGCATCTTCTCTCTCTAGAGTCAGAAGTCATGACAACTAAGTTGGAGAGAGAGAGAGAGAGAGAGAGCAGCTTCCCAACATTTTCACATGCAGTTCCCAAAAAGGAGTTTAGATTCCTCATTTTGGGGCCATATGGACATAGAAACAATTTTCTTATTTTTTCAAAAAAAAAGAAAAGAAAATGGTTTGATATGATCAAAACCCTGTCAAAATAAATAAAACTTCACTTCATAATTCATCGAAAATTATAATTCAAGCATTGAAAAACCTTTACATCAATAATCTTGGCTTAAACATTATGGCGGTAAAAAAAAAAGGATTTCAAGCTTTAAATATAATTATTGTAATCCATTTTGCCCTAAAAATCAATGTTTATAGATCTGCAAGATCTATACTACTTTTTGAGTTTCGAATTTCATTGAAAATCGATTTAGAGTCATGGAGATTTCCATTGCGAAAGTGCTTTTTTGGACAAGGATTTGATGTGAGGCTTTATTTTGTTTCATAAAGCCCATCATTGTAGAAACTTCATCATTTAAATTAAACCCAAACTAATGCAACATTCCTAAGGGGAGCTTTATTATGTGACCTAATTAATCTCCACAGCCTCAAATGACAAATCTACCCATGCTGTTATAGGAATTAACCAACCAACATCTCATATTTTATACAATTATAGATAAAAACAATGGGCCAGCAATGCCACTCATTTTTCTCAAGAATAATACTCTCCCCCTCTCTCTAAGGTGCAAAGGGACAAATTATAAAAGCAAAATTTGGAAGGGAGGAGGAGGAGGAGACAAAAGGGAGGGATCGTCCGCTTCTCATTTGGACAGTTAAAGCCGTGGGGCGAGGGGCAAATCAATATGTGGGCCATGGAAAACCGACACCAGTCCAAATCTGGGTCGGTCCGGGTCTTGCTTCTACACCCTGATGGATTGGGTCTGGTCCAGAAGCATGCCCTTATTGTGAATTAGGTTGGGTCCCAATCTAGGTCGACCAACCCGAACCCTTTTACGTATAAATTTATACAAATTAATAAAATCACATTTAACTTAAGAGTAATGATCCTATAGAACCCTTCCCCCCCATATGTGTAGTACTTCAAAAGATCACCATTAAATTTGGTACGAATTTCTAAAAAAGTTATCACATGGGTGTGAGATTTGAATTTTTTCGAGATCTGTGCTAAATTTAATGGTGATCTTTTAGGGTCCTACCCATATGGGTGGGAGAGGGTCTTGTAGGATCATTTCTCTTAACTTAATCGCCCAAGAAACTTAAACAAAAACATCCACTTAAAATTAACTATTTAATGTCAATTATTTCTATTCATTTCAAGTCAAAAAATAAATCAATGTAACTAACAAATTTAAATTTTCAAAATCCAAGCTCTTACCATTGTGGATGACAATTGGGTCAAACTCAGGTTGGGTTGACATGTCCTGACCTAAGTTCTGGAGTCGTGTTCTCGCCCCTAGAACCCCATCTAGTCCAAGTTTGTGCAGAGTGGTCTGGTCACAGTCGCCCCTGGGTTCGAATATAGGTTCACTCTATATATTGTCAAGTTTGGCACAACCCAGACCTTACTAGACCCATTCCCAGCCCTACAAGTGACCTAGATAAGTGCCGATGGCTCTAATTGTGAAAGGAAAGTATATATTGTGTATATATTGTCTACTAGGTTAATATGAAAGGTATATATTGTAATCAGTATATATAGAAATGGTAGATATATCTTATATTTTTATGTTAAATCTGGGCATAATATAGTATTTGTGATTTATTTATATTATTGTCATATGTATTTGTCTATATAAGACAGCCTCGTATATTCATATTGATTAATAGACACTGAGTTTTTTCAAAGGAACTCGAGACTCTTCACACTAATAAGAACAACTATGCCTTTGGTGGACAACATCTCACTACAAATCTCTCTGTCTCATAATAAATATCTCTCTCTTTTGTCTCTTTTATCTATCTATTTATTTCTTTCTTTGTTTATTTTTGTTGGTTAGTACAAATTTAGTAAATCACACATGAGTTTTGAACTATTTAAAATCTTGCTCTTTCCACTAGTCTTTTGATCAAATTTCAAATAGGCTGTTAAATGCATATTAAAATGAGTTTTGAAATTCATCAAAAGCACCTAGAGAAGTGTTAAATAGTTCAAATATTAAATGTATTTTGATAATTTTTTATAAATATTAATTTGAGAGCTACTGAAATGGAACTCCTGACGTCTCATCGTGGCACTAGCCACTATAACTACCCCTGACTAGAGCCCATTCTCCTTGGACCCAATGGCTCTCTCAATCTAAGATCTTAAAATTTCTAATATCAACTATATTATAACAAAGACACGGTTTTTATGCGGCCGGCTCGCATATTGTAGAAATGCGGGTTTGGCAATAAATATATTTTTAAATTATAATTTGATCATTAAGTTTTAGAGAATGTATAATCTTTAACATAGAGATCATAAATATGAAAAAAAAAAAAAAATGAAAACTACTCCATGTACAAAACAAAACAAGGGTATGTAAAGTTCGAATAGCATCGACCAAACATTGTTAAGATAATTCTACAATAAAGTTTTATTGAAAACGTTAAGAAACATAAGGAAAATAATAAATATTTATTGGTTTTAACATTGCGACATAGAAGGAATAGGAAATGGACATATAGAAAGATTTTAAAACGTATAAGCAGGTTTGGTCTACAAATCTATTCCAACTATCAACGAATTCCTAGGATTTTAAGTGGAATGAGGATCGTAACTCTTTCTACTTTTCGAGGTATAACGACAGATGGAGAGGCTCAACAAGAAGGAATTTGAAAAAAAATCAAAATTATTGAATATAATGAAAAATTACCCTAAAATATGATCACCCATACATAACCCTTTAATTTAATATACGAAAGATATTTATGATAATTTTATGGTAGTAAAACCCAAAGGGCATCGAACAAAGCATGAAATTTCTTCGAACTTGCATGCTCAAAAGAGCACTCAAAACTTTTGGAAAATCCAAACCGCAAATCGCGCACTCAAAATCTCAGCTGTTCATCACTATCAAGGGGGCCCACAATCAACGGGTCAAACACGTGTGTACAAGTGTGAAAGCATGCAGACTCGTTTTTCCTTGGTCGGTAATCGCACGAGAAGGAAACCGGCAATAGCCGGTGGCTTCCCTGGCCCGGCTTTGACCGTACACAAAGGCCGCCGGTCATCAGTCAGTTTCTCCCCCTTAGTATTTCACTGTCTCTGCTTTTAAACCCTAAATTTGCAGAAGCCATTTGTTTCCGCTGATTGATTTCAGAGAGTTCATCAATTTTTTTATGTTACTCGTCACTTTTTCTTTGTTGGGTCTTAGAATTTGCGTTCAAATTCGGCTGGTAAAAAGTATAGCAAGTTCCAAAGATTGCATTTTTTGAATATTTTCAGAGAATTTTGCATCAATTTACTTCTCTATCTTGTATTTTGGGGTTTCTTCTCTCTCATTGTTGGCGTTGTGGATTGGTTTCATGGTGAAGTGGGTTCTGGGTTCTTGTTGGTGGATAATTTTCAGCCATTTGGGCTTTTCTATCACAGTTTATGTGGATATAATGAGGAAGAAAAGAGCATTTTCCAGGAATGATCAGAATTAATGGGTGATTGATCTGGTTCTTTTGTCACTTACAGAGTCGGGTTTGCTTTGTTTTGTTGGTATTCAAATGCTTAGTTGTTTTGTGGAGCTCTTAGGTGTCATTATCTGAGTTTTTTCCTCCATTTTTCTTTTTAGTTCTTCCAATTCTCGCTGGTTTAAGCTTTCGGGTATCGGGTAATGGTTCTCTGTAACTTGGGGTTTTTGGGTATCAGATGGAAAAGTGGGTTTTCTTCTTCCATTTTGAGCCCGTTTGGGACTTTGGTTTTCCATGTAAGTACTTGACTTGTATTATCCTGGAGAGCTCAATGCATAGGGAAATGAAAAATTGAAGAAGCAGGATTGAATCCAGAAATTTAAGACTCGTATCAATGGCTACCTTACTTCTGCATCTACTTGTCCTATTGCAATTTCCTGGCATTTTGATTCCAGTGGGTGCTATCAAGTCCAGGGATTGTGAAAGTGGCCAATTTTCAAATATAGGTTCTTTGGGTTGTGGATCATTTCAATATGATCGAGAATTTTTAGAGCATGGACATCTTTGTGAGGCACTGGAGTTTGCAATCCTTCATGGGTGTTTCTGCAAATATGGGCTTGAACAATGGAGCAGAATTGGAAAAGAGTGTTGCAATATGGAGCTTGAAAAATTGAACGATCTTGTGTGTATTCCTTACGCAAGTATGTGACCTTTTCTGAGCAATCATTTATGATCTAGTCTATAAATCAAGAAAATTGTTGAGGGTAGAATACAGTAAATATGAATCAGAGTGTTGCCTGGGTGCTGCAGTGGTGTTATTAGATTAATTATATCTTAGGTTATCCTCATCTCCGTTTTTTGGTAGATGTAGAATTAGTTGCTCATGTGCAAAATCAAGCTTCTTTCTTTAAAAATAGGACTGTTTAACTGCTTCGTAAGATTTGGTTCTCCATAGAGTATTACGTTTTGGAGTTATAATGGCTATTTTGATATGGGAGGACTTCCCTATCACTTTTTTATGTTTTTGATCAATCAAGTATAGAATTTGAAAATTTAACCATCAGTTTATCTTGCATAATGAGACACCATAGACTAGTTGTTGATATCAAACATATGAAGCATCTTGAAATGCTATATTATCATTTTACTGACAGAAGTATAACTAAATTTTTCTTTGATGACTTGGTGAGTAACTAAAACTTCATTCAATTGCATTTATACTAATTAGAGATGTTGAGAGTGCAAACTAAGAGGTGTAGGACTTGTATTAGGGAGGTCAAACCTTGAGTTCTTGAGTGTCAACTCCATTCTAGCCATACTAGCCATACGAGCCAAGAGTCAGCTGACTCCTTGGTCTTCTGAAAGACATGTTGAAAGATCACAAACACCGAATTGTTGTCTCAACGTATTTCTCTAAATGTCAGCAGTACTTCACAGTATTGATCCTTACAGTGCGCCATTCTAGTCACATTTGACTAGGTAGCTTCTGCTAAATAATGAGCCAGTTATTGGTGGGAGAACCCCCTTTGCTATTAAAAATGCTTTTGTCTTTGGCTTAGTGGAACCATGAGCGTCCAGAGGTCGTGCAAATCCTCAAACCATACTCCTTTACCGTCTCTGAAGAGGAACACACCATCTTATATGTCCCCAATTTACCTTAATAAATGCTGTAGCTTCATGTAATGCAACAATTTCCTACCTAGCTGCTTAAGATAAGGTTGCTAAGGCCCCTCTTTTTTCATGGGATATCCTCGTTTCTCATACCCGGAAACTTGTTTACAAATGCCCTTGGGATATCTAATCCCTTGTTTATAATTTTCACATTGCCATCACAACCTCTGTGAAAGTCTTATTGTTGGACTCTTTGGCCAAGTTTCTTAGAGGATTAAAAGTGAGCAAGCTAATCCTCTAGCTCAAAAGATGCCCAAGGACCAAATCATCTAGGAGTAGTTGTCTGTATTATCATTCCTGATTAGGCTCTATAACAAATTCTCTTTCATCATGTGTTCTTGCAGTCGATGATGTTCGATTGTATTCTCATTTGGAAGGTCGACTGTATTCTCATTTTGCGGATATTGAAATGTTTGCCAACCCATTGAGGCTAGGAGCCTTGGAAAAGCTGAAACATCCCAAACCGAATGGTTGGACCAGGGACCATTCAAATCTTTGTATTAATGAGGTAACAAAACCACATATGCACGCGTGCATGCACGTACGCACGCATGCACATGTAAAGATTGTTTATCTTTGGTACAAAATAGTCATAATCACCCCTAACAGTTCTGAAATTAGGTCAATGGGGGTGGTGATCCATGCTTGAAGTTCGAAAAATTTCCTCTGTCGTTGTGGGGAGAAATGACATATTAGACATCTGATTTTACATCCTACAACTTGGGGTTTTTGTGACCTTTGTATACAAAAGGTAATGGTCATGTTGCTACTACTCGAGGTGTTTCTAACCTTTGTGTACGAAAGGTAATGGTTGAATAAAATAACACACATCAAAACTATGCCAAAAGATGCAGTTTTGGTGTCAAAAGCCTTGCGATGGCATGAAAATCTATTGTTACCCCTAATTATGAAATCTAAAGCTCCAAAAATGATACAGATCAAGCAAATATATAAACAATTAATTTTTTTGAAAGTGGATGGTCCAATAATGCATTATAAGATGCACTATTTTCATGACTTGAAATTTTAGTTTTTCATACCCATACATCTCGAGGTTGAGATGATCAATTTTGATGGTTGTTTAGAATCTGAATAAATTTATTCCAATGGGTTTAGATGTGCCTTCACTAGTATAAGCTTGACACCCTATACATACATACATACATACATAGATATATATGGAAGATACTACAAAACACTTATAGGTAAAAATGAACAGTGATTTCGCCTACCCTCATCACCATCCAAACTTCATCGCATGGTCACAGTTGTCCAGTAGTGTTTTAATTTTCAATTTTTTTTTACTAGTCAAAATGATCTGAAATTTAGAGCGTGTAAAGCTTAGTGAGGCGCACCTAATAAAAATATGAAAAAAAATAATTTGTAAAATTAAATTGACCAAAATACCCCGTAATTTAGGGGGTATTTTCATCAATTTATATTTTTTGAATTATTTTTTTCATATTTTTATTAGGTGCACCTCACTAAGATGTACGCACGCTCCAAATTTCAAGTAATTTGAATTTGTAGAACTCACTAAGATGTACACACGTTCTAAAATTCAAGTAATTTGGATTTGTTTGGTAGTGTTTTAATTTTCATTTTTGTTATGAAAATCCAAATTATTTGAAATTTGGAGTGTGTGTACATCTTAGTGAGACACACCTAATAAAAATATGAAAAAAAAATAATTCGTAAAATATAAATTAACCAAAATACTCAAAAAATTTCAAATCATTTCAATTAGTAAAAATAAATAAAAATGAAACACTACCGGACAACTGTGACCGTGAGATGAAGTTTGGATGGTGATGAGGGTAGGAGAAATCATTGTTCATTTTCGTCCTATAGGCGTTGGGAAGAGTTTCTATATATATATATATATATATAGATATATATATATATATATATGGATGGGGAGTGATTTCGTGAAATGGTTTTATACTAATATACTGAAATGGCTTCTTTTAACGCATGTGGGGCATTTTGTTTGACCTCAAATTTTGTACACACACTCTTTTCATCCAAAGGATCAATCATATAAAAAAGAAAAACTAAACAAGGTCCATATGAAGCCCATTACAACAAGTAATGCATGCCATTCATTTGATGGATAGTTTGATATAGGCCTTTAGGAACTCAAGAAGTCAGACTGAATTGTTTCTGTTTTTTTTAAATTGTTCATCTAGTTATGACATGGCCATCTGCAAATTCACTGTCACAAAAGCCCTTGCAATGCCTAGATCTAAATGTCCCATCAAATGGATGGCTAACATTCATTATGTCAAGAAAAACACTTTTTAGGGTGCATTTCTGAAGTGAGAAGGGAGAAAGAAAAATAAATTGCAAACTAGGAAAAATAAATTTTAAAAAAATTGGATAAAAGAGTATACCAGTGCTCCACTATAATTGAGTCTCCGCTTGCAAAGCAACTTGAGAACTCTTGCGTAAAAGTTTATAGCCAATGTGTAAAAACGACATATCTAATTGCTGGTTGGAGCAAATTAACATAACGAACAACCTTTTGTCCTTCAGCTTCTTAGAGGTTGTTTCAAGCCACAAGTCTATAAAATTCCCCAGTATAGTCCTCTACTATCTGATCGTTTTGTGGAGATTTTGGAGGTCTTGAAAGAAATTTGTTCATGATCCACATAAAGGAAATTTTCTTTCAACTTCTTTTTCCATCTTTTGCCAATTAGAATTTTTGCATTTCCTTTGCAAAATTGAGATTATTGAACTTATTCCCACCAGGCCACAACTTACCCGGAGAGTTTGGTTGCGATAAGTTTAACTTTTTGCTCCTTAGGCAATTCACTCCGCTCAAAAAAAATTTCATCTGCACTCTACCAATCAATGAAACCATGCAAGTGGAGCTTACGATGAACTCAAAGAGATCAACCTTAATATCATGATCTCAGGGACACTCCACTAATCGCAAGTCTTCCCTCCAAATTTACTCATTGGGTATCGCCCTTGTAGGGGGTTGTGGAGTTTGACTAATTACTAGGGCAAGGCGCAAGATCTACTGGATGTCTGCAACCTCTTCTCAGCAATTGATATTTTTCTAATCGTTGCAACCTCGGATTCATTTCACCAATCTCTCCTCAAATTTCGCTGATCTGGGCATAAAAATCTTCTATGTCTTGATTTGTGCCATCTTTGATTTGCTGATTCACATTCTCTTGAATTTGTTGATTCACAATCTCCATGATTTATGGAAGTATATACTTGATTGCAGAGACTGGCTTTGGCGGCATTATGATTGATGCATCCTCTTATCTCCGGTACCAATTATAGCATGGTAAAGGGACAAAGAAAAATAAAGTACAAAAAAAAAAATACAAAATTTTAAAAAAGGATTGAGAAAATAAACCCTCTTTGGCTCTGCATGGTAGTCTATCCCAAAATATCGTTTCACAAGGCCCACAATTAATTATTTTTTTCTATATTTTTCTTGTCCAACTCCTAGTTCTAGAATATAAAAAACTAAAACCTAGCTCTCTCCTTAAGAAACCCCAACCCCAACTGTAATATATCATAGCCCTTCTTTTCTCTAAAATTACATTCCAACTCTACCCTTCAATGCTCTACAACTAAAATAAGACACAAATGCCCTTAAGTAAATAGAAGAGCGTATGATCTATATCTAATTTCAGTCTCTTAAAAACAGTGAACAAAAAATGAAAAATAAAAACCCTATATTTTTTCTCTTTTAGATTGTTTGCTAGGATGAAGAGAGTGTACGTGCAAAGTTTGGGGGGTCAAACAAATGCCCCCAGCATGGTTTTCAAAGGAGTGTCTCATTATATCGCTATGAATTTGTTTCATAGAACGTGACTAAACCTAAAATTTTTCTTCACTTTCTAAAACCCAAATCCTTTTCTAACAATCTATGTGGGTGTGGATGTATGTGTGTGTATCTTTCTCGCAATTATGAATTGTAATATGATGTGCTGAATAGGATTCATTGTAATGCTAGCTCACTATCTTCTGCATTGCCTTGCACAGTGCATCAGCCTCGTAGGGCAGCAAGAAAGACTCTATTGCAGCCAAGAACAAAAGAAACAATGTGTCATAATATTGAGAGGATAAGTAAGTTCAAAGGAAAAGATCAACATGATTCAACTTCAACTCATGGCAACCTAGTCATTGCAGCATCGGGAATGCTTCTTTTATCCTGCAGCATGTTATGTCCATGTTTTCGTGCCAAAAAGAAAGGCGTGAACCGTGATGTTCTTGTCAGAGGCCCCAATTCAAGTGAGTTGTTGGAAAAATGATTGTCAACTTTTTTCATATAAAATAGTCAATTGTAAATCGGATTTGTTTGCCTTTGTCTTTCATTTATTGAATGGCATGTAGTAGTGTAATATTTCATTTGCTTCAAGTTTATTATTGGTTTTTGACTTAGTCCTTTGCATGAAGCACTTTGCCTAATCTTTTATGGCTATTGCCATTTACCAAATATTCTAGTCACTCATTTATTTTCAGCCTAATAGAACTGCCTAAATGGCATGAACTTTTGATGCAATCAGCTTGCTTTAATGATAGGTTAGCATCCGTTATTCATAAAGTTATGTTATAACTAGCACAATTTCTTATGTATAAATTTGTGTGACGGCTCAAGGATCTGAGTTCTTGGAGCTTCAATGAGATATCATTCACAACGACTTCTCTCAATCGGGCTGTGACGAATGGTAGATTGTCCAATCATCAAGCAAGCTAGCAAAATCAGTATTGCAATAGGAAGAAATGTGAACACCACTGGATGTCAAAAATCCATAGGGCCCCATTGAGAACCTTTCATGTATCTAGGAATTGTTTCATCTCCTCAGTTGATTACTTTTGGGGATCCTAAATGAGCTATGAAGGTCTAATTACCAATTAATTGGATTGGAAACTCACTAGCATTGAGGACTAGCCACATATTGAAACCTCTAGTATACAGATTTGTCCCACTATTCTGCATTTTATTTCGATAAGATCATGCACCTACCAGAAATAACTTGCAAGACCTCATTTGTTGTATTTCATGATTATCTTGGAGTAGACATTGAATGTATAACTATCGTGTTCATATCATAGTTTCTAATATTCTTATCTTTGATATAGGCAACAAACAGGATCCCTAAATAATTGTCATTTAGTGAGAAGTGATTCTTTGCACAAGCATCCTTTGAACATAGTGGTGAGGTTGTTTTGTCCAGTGTTTGAAAACCCAGACTTGCTTAGGGAATAAGCCAATGCCACGGGCAAGTCGACTCATGGAGTCTCATGTTGACTTGGTGAATCTTGTCCAAGTCTCAAACTATTCAAAAACAAAGAAAAATATTAGAAATAGGAAAATATGAAAAAATTGTAAAACAATAATTGTAAATTCACATACTTAAAAGCATTTATCATGAAACATTGCTATGTAAAAACATAGTTGCTTAGAGCGGGAGTGGGGGCTGGAGCGGGAGCAACATATCAATGCATGCAGTGAGCTCCCTAGGTTGGGAGCGAATTTTGTATGATTTATGAATTTTTAATAAACATTTTTTAAGCATCCAATCATTCTATTATATAGATATTAGTAAATTAAAACTTATTAAACATCATTATAAAAAAAGTAGAATTCGTCATCATCTTTGGGGCCTTTCCCTTACCCTTTTAGAGCCTTCCATTTGACTATTTCAGGATTTATGAAATATTTACGTTGGCTGCCAAGCTAATATTTCCCTTCTCCCTTCTCCCTTCTCTAGGCTTGGGACTGGTTGTGGCGGAGTTAAAAAAATGCAATCATTAATTCATTATCATTCAATACTATAATAATAAGGCATAGATTGATCCAATTATAGAAATATGATGTAGTTTATGGCTTTATGCAATCATTATGATGTAGTAAGTCTAGCGCAAGATTCCCAATATTAGGGATTAAGATCCCTAATATTAAGAATTGATATCCTATGGAGAACCTGACAAAGGAACTTCGGATCATGAGCAGAGTGGGATCACCGCTTTAGTTTGGAGATCCAAGTAACTATGTATAAAGATATACATTTTCTGATTTTGCGAGAACCTGTTCCTTTGGAGACATAGTAAGCACATTAAAGACACACTATTCCAACAAAAAACAGCTCTGCCCAACGTCATCATTTTAGAATAAGTACTTAATAACTATTTCTACGTATTACATGATTTTTTTTTCATTTTCCCATGCATTTTATTGAAAATAAATGATGATGAATTACCCAATCTATGGAAATATCACTATATCTTTGTAGTTCTAATGATATTTATCCAAAAAATATAGTTTAAAGTATTATAAACTGAAGAAAAGAATGATCAATATTACTAACCTGATGTTTCGTAGTTGATGTGGTGGCTGATCGACCCAAAGTCCTTATTCAATGAGATCAAGGCTTCTACAGTTTTGATTTTGATCATCTAATGACCGACTGAGAAAGCCCCAACTTTCTATGAGTTTGATTTCAGATCTGTGTGGTCTGAGGCGCGCAAGTACTTTGGTTTGGCAAAACAATGAAAATCCATATCTAAAAAATTCATGATTTTTGGGGTTTTTTGGCCAAACTTTGTTTTGGATTCATTAGAGAGGGAAATAGGACCGAAACCCTTTTGAGCTTCCAAAAAGAAAAATCTGAACCTGCTTCCAAAAAGAAAAATCTGAACCTGTTAGAATATGGAACTTTACTTTTGTTTTCTGGTGTTGGGAAACTCATTAATATAAGTATCAGACTTGGGAACTTCTGACCGTCTTGGTTAAAATTCGGGAGTTGGGCCTGGTCTCAGCAAGGACTTGCCTTGTTCTGTCCAATATGGAGTCCTCGGTGAGTTCCCTATGGAACGAGCTTTTAGCCCCAACATTGCACTTGATTCTTTTTAATGTACCATTTAATTTCTAGATGAAGCATAACCAAGAAGATTATCTGCTTAGTGGCTTATTTTGAGAGGTGCTTCATTTTTGGATCATATTCCCATGCCTAACTTTTCTTGTATGGATTATACTTTGGTAATATTCATAATAAGTCTGACAAAAGTTTCACCATAACTTTAGTGATTATCTCTGTTTTGTTGCTCACTGAGGACTTGTGTCATCCCTTACATATAACTAGATGCTTCTTTTGCTTTTTTTTTTCTTTTGTAATTGGGATGTTTAATTCATCTCCTTGTGCGAGTAAGTTATCACTGTGATGCAGTAAAGAAAAGTTAGGGCCTGAATATTGGGCTACTTTAAGATGACTACAAGGTTCACTATAGGATCCATATCTCATACTTAGCTACTGAGTGAACTCATTATATTGCCATGGTGGTGACATTCCCTATAGCTCATTCCTAAAGGACACGAATAGTTGAATGTTGTGCTGCTTCCGTTTGCATCATTGTAGACCTATGTGATTGATATTTTATCTCCTGTGACTAAATGGTTTCCCCTTGTAAGGTGTATTCCATAACAAGCTTAAAAAAAAAGACATTTTCTAAATTGCCAGTAGTGCATTTACACCAGCTAGCCGTATTAAATTGTTATACTATCACTGTGGTGCCATCTCCTTAACATTGCATTCTTTTGAATGTGCCTCAGAAACAATTTTGCCTTTATTTTGCACCAGTATTTGGCATTGGTTATACTTATATGATGTCTGTTGTTGTAGTGGACATGATGTCATCTTTTGAAGTAAGTGCTTCTCCACATGTGCCACCCAGCCCGAGTCAAATGCCACCAAGCCCGTATCGATTTTCTCTATCCCCTCAAACAAGTCAAAATGGACCTATACACCTTAGTCCCAAACAAATTATTAAATCTACACGCAACTTTTCACTGGAATTTAAGATAGGGGAAGGAGGTTTTGGGACTGTTTACAAGGCTCAGTTGCAAGATGGACAGTTTGTCGCCGTTAAACGTGCAAGAAAGGTAATGTCCAGTTTTTTACTGTTATGTATTCAATGGGTTCTCAGATTCTTAGATGTTCTTTGATGTCACATGGTTATTTGGATAACTTGTTAATATTTTTTATTAATGTAAGCGTTCTGATTTCTGAATGAAATGTCGTCTCTTCTACTCTTTACATTTGCAGGAAGTAATCTACTCTAGTTGTCAAACCTGATGTCATTTTGGAAACAATTATCTCTTGTGTTCTACCTTGAATGCATGATCTTCCTGCAAATGTTCACTTCAACCACAGTAATAAATTGATTGATGCACCTTTTTAATTTGACATGGAATGCAGTGGAATATTCTAGGTCTTTATCAACGATCTCACTCTTTGCATATGCATGGGGTTTTCTCAATTTCATATTTTAAAGTTTAAATCAAAACAGAAAACAAGCAATCAATATGATCTAAAAATTTCTTCCACTAGATATAAGAACAACTATAACTCACCTTAGAAGACCCGATAAAAAACTCAAGGTTGACTTAGCTCTACAAAATGTTCTGCAATCTAGTTTTTTGTCAAAACTTATTACATAGCTCATTGGAAACTACAGCATCTATGTTAGAATTTTTTATTTTTTATTTTGTTTTTCTCAATCCAACCCCTTGGAGTCTCTCTAGAACATCCTTAGGTGCCTTTCCAGCAAAAAAATTAGGTTTTCTTGGCCAATCTTCAAGCTCAATCCCTTTTGGGTCCTCAAAAGAAAGGATGGAAAGATAAACGACTCTCAAAAGGTGACTTCTTGAATTTATGCATGGTTTTCAAAATAATGGTACTTCCCAACAGGAAATCTAGATTATCTACTGTACTTTTTTGGTCTTCATGGCTCTTTATAACAAAATTCTAATGATTTCTTCTTTCTTAACCTTTCCGTGAAAATATTATTGGTTGGTGCTGTGTTGATTTGAGATATTTAGCAGGAACTATTTGAGTCCCTACGGACAGAATTTAGAAGTGAAGTTGAGATGCTAGCAAAAATTGAGCATCAAAATCTTGTGAAGCTACTTGGTTATATTGAACAAGGACATGAGCGCCTGATTATTGTTGAGTATGTCTCGAATGGTACTCTCCGGGAGCATTTGGATGGTAAGATGATTTTATTTTAATGGTTGGAGATGGTATCCATGTCCTTTACTGCTTTGTGTTGCTCATGATTATACACCTTACAGGACATCATGGGAGAATTTTGGATTTTATGCAACGACTGGAGATAGCAATTGGTGTTGCTCATGGCCTAACTTACCTACATGTATATGCAGGTTAGTAAACTGTATATTGTTTACCATTTGTGTTGTAATAGTATGCCTTTTGGCATTTGAATCAACCATATTATTAATCCTTACACATCTTGTGCATTAACACTTCTTGGCGGTAACCATCGTTCACACCATGTAGTTGCACCTTAAATGATGCTGAAAGTGCAAAACTAATTTCTATTTTTGAACGTGCATCACCTAATTGACATCTAATGTGCTGTTATTATTCTGAATCAGCAATAGTCCCAAAAGTTCTTAAGAGATCACAGTATAACCAACCTAAGCTTCACAATTTGTGAAAAGAATGAAGTGAACATGGGTTAAAACCTGTTTTTATCTCTAGAAAGCTCCTCTACCTGCCAACCCTAGGGTCTCTCTGCTATAACCATCAATTTTTAGCTTTAACTGGAGTTTGTTCCTGGAACTGACTAGATATCCTAGACTCTTACTTCTTGGGGTCTTTTATTCCACTTTTTTACTTTCCAAATTCACTCCCTTGTTATTTCATATAATGCTATATCTTGTTTACAGGGAAACTTAATCTTGTTTTGTCATTTTTTAAATACATATTGGTAATATATGAAATGTTGATTCTTTTATAGACTTATGTATGTAAAGAGTGATGAAAAAAGCATCCATTATTCCAATCATACTTTTAAGATAGTATTAAAGGGAGACCAACTTCAAAGTTCAAACCCTGATTTGTCAATTCTGGTTGATCTGTTCTAGGCTAGTGCAAGGAGAACCCCAGCTACCTGAGATTCGCTCTATCTGTACTCCAAACTAAGGCGACACACACCACAGCATGAAATGTATGTAACCCCTATATATATTCCCCTAGCCATCAAGATAATTCGGGGTGGAAGCTACATTCAGCCCTAGAAGTTGCTTTATTATGCTATTTATGATTTGGGTTAGAAGACAAATGACCAATAGTATCCCACATCATAGATTCCATTATTGCTATCCCATAATCTTCCATTATTGCTATCCCATAATCAACTTTCTCCACTTTCTCATGATGTGTTTCAGGGTTTCCTCTGTTTTAACCTCACTTTCTCTGCAGTTTTAGTACTACAAGAAGTGGTTTTGCTTGCTACAATTAGTTTTTTCCTTTTTTAATTGATGATCTCCGTGCTATTTATTCGCATGCTTGGAATTCATCCTTATCATCTGAACACCAGAAATATGGGGTCTAGTCATGATTTATTGTGCAAGGTCCAGTCATGATTTATTGTGCAAGTTATCACCATCAACCAACAAATTCAGATTTTTGGCGAACGAGCTTTAATGCATGCTGAAAGACATTGTAGCTTCTGTTGGTTAGAGTAGTTTCTTATCGTGAATAATTGTTTTAACTTTGTAGTAGTTGAGGTATCGATACATTCTTTTTCCCTATTCTATGGTATGGGTGGTGCATGAGGGTATGCATGCATGTGTTTCTACAGGCGTGGGGCATGTTTGCATGTATTATCTCCTGTTGTGGATAATTCTTTTCGCTTCTCAGTAATTCAGGAATAAAAGCATATTCTCTTGTGATGTCCTAATAGAGCAACCAATAATCCACCGAGATGTGAAGTCCTCAAACATCCTTTTGACCGACCAATTTAGAGCCAAGGTGGCGGATTTTGGGTTCGCACGAGTGGGCCCCACACAAGCTGATCAGACCCATATAATGACACAAGTAAGGGGCACTGCAGGCTATCTGGATCCTGAATATTCTAGAACCAGCCAGCTCACAACAAAGAGTGATGTGTTTTCCTTTGGCATTTTGCTCATCGAGATCTTATCAGGGCGGCGCCCCATAGAGTCAAGAAGAGCTGTTGATGAAAGAGTCACTTTGCGATGGGTAAATTCAAACCATTGTTTTTGCTCTCTAAGAAGGGGAAGCATATTATAATGCAATGGACTATCAAAAACCATAATCCGCAGGGGTCATCACCATCAATAAAGTGAAGGATAGGCATTCATGATTGGGGATCACTCTTGCTCTTTTAGTTGCCACTGTCTATTATCATTTCATTGGATAGCGATGACCCCAATGGACTATATAGACAAAAGTTATTCTTGTTCTATTGGTTCGTACCAGTGTTTGCAAATCGGCGATCTGGATCGGAATCGTCCGATCCAGATTGGGAATCGTCGAAGCCAGTCCAGTTCCTTGTCATATATGGGGAACCGGCCGAGTCCCCCTTGAACCAGCCGGCTCACTGGCCGGATTTGTCCGAAACCGGCCAGATCTGTTAGATCAGAACCGGCCGATTTTCACCTGAACCGGTTTTAGTGGGTTTTAATTTTTTTTGAGATCTAGTGGGCCACCCCATTATTTTAAAGGTTTTTGGTAGAGAGGCGAAAAAAGAACTCTAAACTATTCAATGGTCAACAGACATCCAGATAGGAAAACGACATCTCAATATTGATGTATTTTTGTGAAATAATGGAAGTACATAATACATCACCCACAAATTTTTTTTTTAAATTGGAAAAACAATATTTTAAGGGATTTTAGTAACTTTTTGAAATATTTTTAGCTGAAACCAGCCGATTCTCTAATCCGGATTACCGATCCACCGATTTGACTTGGTTTTTGGAGTGGCTGATTCGGTTCAATGATCATTTTTCTTAAACCTTGTTTTGTACTTCGTAGTATACTTCCCCCAAGAATGTTGGGACTTACTATTCATGCTCCTGGTTTATTCCTATATTGCTGGGAACTATTGTACAGACCTTCAAAATGCATAGCGATGGAAGAATGAGGGATATATTGGATCCTTTGTTAGAAGAAACACCTGAAGATCATATATTGGAGAGGATCTTTGATTTGGCTTTCCAATGTGCGGCGCCTAGCAGGTCTGAGAGGCCTACCATGAGAGAAGCAGTTCAGCAGCTATGGGGGATTAGACGAGACTACTACTCGATCTTGAGAACTGGGAGTCGATCGCAATGATCAGTGTTTTCATTTTTTTATCGTTCAAGGGAAATATATCATAGTCAAATCTAGTATGGTGTATGGTGATCTATAGGGACGTCCACGATTTGGTCTTTTATGATGGAGTGCAGAGATTCATTGTAGTATGGCCTACTCCGGCAGGTCATCTAGATAAGTTAACCGTGGATGCATCTTTCAAGTGCTGTTTACCATACGCCATTGATAGCGGTATGTACTTTCTTTAAGGGAGGTGTCATGTTTTTGTAAGGTAGAGTTTTGAGTTTGTAAATGAGGTCCACATGTGGTTGTATTATTAACTGGAAACAGTGGCTATTTTCTAGCATGATATATTTATGTTTTGCCAAATAGTTGGGGTAAAGTTCGGATGATGATGATGATGATGGTATATTTTGGTTTTTTACATAATCTCCTCTGCCATATTTACTTTAGTATTATACAATTCACTTAGATCATTTCTTCATGTCTAATACATGGTTTGGAAGGGCCTTTACTGGTCTTTTCTATCAGTACTTGTTCTTGGCCACGGTCATTGTTATCGCAACAATGGGGCAAGAAATCTTTTGTGACAGCTGTTTGCAAGATGCTCTGGTGCAGCGTATCAAGCCATAGAAAAGAATACTCTAATTTAAACGGACTATGCAAAACCGTGGTCCATAGCGGTCATTGCCACTCGATGAAATAAGAGATGCTGCGAACTGATAGGGAAAATGGGCTAACCCCAATTGTAGGTCCGGACCTGTCCATAGCATCTTCATTGCATTAGAATCAATGTGAGGCCAACAGACACTGGTTTCGTTTAGGGCACATTTGGGTAGATTGCTAATCGCATTTAAATCCAAATTTTAAACACACCAGGCTAAGAACCGTTCTCCAGCATGTTGGACTTTATACCAGTGATATCGAGATTGGACAGGCAACTGAACTAGTGAGGGGTCTGGTTGGTTTTTGGTCTTATAAAAACTAGTTTGATTTTTTATTGAACGGATTGGATTGGATTTACAAAAAAAAATAAATAACAATAAATAAAGTATATTACAAAATGTTCAATTTTGTTTAATGGGTCTGACAAGTCCAGACTAGCCAGTCTGACATGTTAAATTGGTTGCTCTGACCAATCAAAAATTAATTTTGATTGGCTTTTAACTTAAGCTAGTTTTTGCTTTGATCAAGGGTTGACCAGCCAAGACATCAGTTGGTGGTCCAACCGTTCAGCCCACTGTTAACTGTCTTATACATCTTTAATTCTAGCCTATTTGGAAAATCAGTTGTCCATCCGTTCAGCCCACTCTAGTCCTGATAACTATGTTTTATACATATTTAATTCTAGCTTATTTGGAAAATGCTGCATGTAAATTCCTAATCTCTTTAACTTCAATGAAAAATACATATTTTGTTTCTAGTCACATTTAACGCTAGCTAATAATTCAGGTTCACGTGTTAATAGACATGTTTACCAAAGTATTACCCTCACATAAAGGCTGCGGTTTGTGTAAGGCTGAGGATCTAAACAATAAAAGTAAAGCACATCCTTATATAGTGTTGAAAAACTTTTGGATCCAACCCAAAAGTTAAAATATTTATGTATTTAATTATATTTAAATATATTTCATATATTGGGACCCCAAAAATATTACCCGATCCAGACCCAAATAGTGTTTGGGTCCAAGATTTGGACTTGGACCCGACCCGCTGGATCCAGTTTTCGAACCCATACCCGGAACTAAATCGGGTCTACCCTTTGGGTCCCTGGTCAAGTCCAGGACCATTGCCATCCCTAGCCCGAACCCAGTTGGTTAACAACCTTAGATATGAGAAACGTTGAAAGAGTCTATGCTCCCACAAGAGCATTCCCTTCATTGACTATTGAGGGTAAAACCCAACAAAAGAGTAATTTTTCAGCCAGGGAAATAACCTCTTAATAAATCAAACTCTATATGCGCTTCCAAAAGATTTTCCTGAAATTGAACAGAGACAGTGATAGTCAGAGCTAAATGTTTAAGAACTAAAAATCCAAATTTCGCTTTTCAAAAACATCATCCGGTGAATTTTAGGGAAAAAAAAAAAAGGAAAAAAAAATCTCTTAAAAGGGAGCAACCATACAGTATGCTCCCCCACGATGTCGTTGTATAGATTGTTTTGTAAAGGCATGTCCATGAACATTGATGTGGGAAGAATTTCGTAGTCGGCTAGATTGTTTTGTAAAGGCATGTCCATGAACATTGATATGGGAAGAATTTCGTAGTCGGCTTTAGACAGCTACAGCCTACGGTTGCAGCTGATTTCATGCAACGACTGCTTTCTTAACAACCCCACGAAAATGTTGCTATGACTTTTTATAAGGGATTGTATCGTACAAAGGGGGTTACAATTACTTACAACCATTTAATGTAAAATCCGATAGCTTGTGTATCATAAAGTTCGAAAAACTTTCTTTTAAACTGTGTGGTAATGAAATCAATGCAGCCATCAAATTTCACATCCAATGATAAAAGTTAATTGTTACTTACCTTGTACCAAAGGTAAATGATCTCATTATATATTTTTCTTTTTTATAATAAGCAAAAAGCTCTTAAAACCATTTTGAGATGGAAACTTTGATAAGTTGAGCATACAAAAATTAGAACATAACTTGATATTTACCTTTGAGATGAAACATTGCTAGTAGGACTAACCAGAACCGATTAAACATTGACCTCAACTAGGTCTTGACCAAACTTGATTTTAACTTTGAACCAGTTAAAATTAGTCAAACACTAAACTTGACTGTCAAAACCTAGTTTTTACTTTAAACCAAACCGGCCAAAACATTGGCCGGTGGTCTAACATTGGTACAGTATGATCTTGATAAGTATGTTCCACAATACTCATAATCAAAAACCAAAAACCCAGTGTCGAATTTTCCACTTCCATTTTCTATGCCTTGGAGATGCCCCATATAGCATGCTCAGCTTTTATATTTTATTATATATTAGCTTCTGAAGCATTTACAACTATCCAAGGAGGCCAATTGAATTAAGCAGTTAGGAGGAACAATTCCCTCATTTTATATTTTATTATATATTAGCTTCTGAAGCATTTACATCTATCCAAGAAGGCCAATTGAATTATCAGAATTCCCTGATTGTAGCAATGCAACATCATTGCTCTCATCTCTATCTTTGACATTGAGATAAGAAACCCCACATTGTTTCTTGTATAAGAGGAAGAAACCCATAAAACTCAGGTCATGGAAGCTCAAAAACTAACATGCCCAGTTCTTATTGAGCTCTTCTCTCAACGCTTTTTTTCTCTTTCTTAACCACACCACCCCAAAAATAATTGAGCCAAACTGAATAGCTGAAAACGCATTCTCTTCCATTGGCTTCCCTTCAGGTAGGGGTGCAAGCCTAGGACATGCTCCGGCATGAAATCGTGCCTCGTCAGTATCCCCACAACAGGTGCTCTCTGCAAACCATATATAACAGACTAAGCTGCAATATGTGAACAGCAATAACACCCCTACAATATTTAAAAGCTCCCACATCTACAATATTTAGCAATAGTATCTAAGATTTTCATCCTCTTTTTTCTTTATATTTTTTTCTTTCTTGATAAAATATAATTTGTCTTGTTTCTAGGAAGAAGGTGAAAAGCAATGAAGCCTCTGCAAGAAAAAGAAGAGGAAAAGGAGAGATTCACATGAATTTTCATGGTGATAAGATTATAGAAAGCATTGTAGTTTTGCAGGATTATTTTATAGTTTGGATTTTTTTCTATTTTTTGGCATTCTCCTTTTCCATTTGAAGATGTTCAAACAAACACACATTACCCATATAAACCTGGCAAGTTTCCCAGAAAAACTTACTGAAATCTTCGGAATCAATAAAATTTCCAAAAATGAGCTCCCAAATCATGAAAGGAATCAAGAGTACTTTTTGAAACAAAGACCACAACACCTACAGGTAACTACTAATGATGAAATTGGGAACTATGCTGATTAAGTAGACGATAGCTCAATAGATTGTGATATATTGTAATCCAAAGCCACATCCACGAGTCATTCCTCCCAAGAGATGGTTTGAGGTTAACTGAAGTGGGTCCCAAACAAATATTCTCCTCAGTATAGTTAATCTTAAACCACCCGTCAGTAGCAACAGACAGTGGATACAGTTGGCGCAGGAATATCTACCACTGATCAAAAAGGAAACTATACTGATTGAGAAAGTATACTATAGACAAGGACTATGGCATATGGTAATTCAAGGCCACTTCCACGATCCATTCCTCATATGAGCTGGTTCACCTTGAAATGTCCATAAGTGGGAACAGACAGTGGATATCGCTTTGAAGTACCACATACCATAGTCCATTGGGCAATACTACACTCTCTTGCTATGAGGAGAAAGGATATAAAAGAGAGCCCCTTACACCATGTGTCTTTGGCACAACCAAGAGATGCCTCAACCCAACTTGTCGGAAGAGAATGAGAGCCTTGGCAAGCGACATTGTCTCCACTACTGTATATGGGGAAGTGTTGGCAAATGGATGAAGATCAACAAACATCTCCATCTCTTCATCACTCAACTCGATGTCTTCAATCTGATCGCCTTTGCCTGATCCCCTCTTTGCAAAGTCATCAAACGAAAAGTGCTTAAACGCGTCCACTCCAACAAGAGCTGGGGTGTGAGAGAACTCCCGTTTCTTGAGAAGCATAAGAAGGTGAGCCCTAAGGACCAAACCAAACAAAACTGGAGATTCTGAATTAGGGGGCTCATCCACAACAGGAAAACCGTTGTGCTTTGTTGCCCTCAACAAATGCACTATGTTACACACCCTCTCTACACCATTGAAAATATGAAGTGGGCCCACCACCACATCACCAGCGGTCAAATTCTTCATGTAAGGTTCAGCATGGGCCTCTAGATATGGTAAACCCTTAATCTGCATAATAAGGTCATATATGTTCCCATTGAAAGCATCAGCTACAGTTTTCGATATCAAAAGGACAAGCATGACAAGAGGAAGCATCAACAAGTCATTCGTCAATTCCAAGAGTATTACACACAAAGAAACAGTCATCCTCATTGAGCCTCCAAGAAGAGAAGCAGCTCCGAGAATTGCATAAAGGCCATGGTTAAGGGTCGACCGTGAACCCATCAAAATACCCACAAGCCTCCCATACGTTGCACCAGTCAATATAACTGGCACAAATAAACCGGATGGGACAACTATGCCATAACTTAGAATTCCAAGTATATATGTTGCAAAAAAGAAGATGAGAATAGATAGAGGGTGAAACTCATTGTCGGTGCCCAAGCTAAAGAGGTTACGAATGGCATCATCGTTAGTATTGAAGAAGAGGCTTGCGAGGTCATTGTAATGGCCAGGGGGGCACTGGAACTTCTTGAAATTGCCGGACCTGCCTATTGTCGGGCACTCCTCGATGGTATCGGTTGGGCATTTTCGGCAGGGAGCGAGCCATGGAAGGCCAAATAGGCAGCACGAGGTGCAAATGGAGACAGTGCAGGCCAGCAGCAAACGGTAAGGGGGTTTCTTTCTGTAAAAAATTGTAAAGGAGAAAAAGCATTTAGGACTTTGAGAGGCAGTGTTTAAGCCACTATAGATGGTTTAAACTTTCCAATTTGGGGCCATGCCAGCAGGAGCAAATTTGACTCGATTTCACATGCAACTAAACCAAAAGAAGGGATAACAAGAGGAAGTTTAAAATAAGTTCATGGAGAAAACCTCAATAATCAGCAATTCAGAAACTTGAAATTACAACTAAGATCTTGGAAGAAACTTTCTGAAAAAATGACAATTTAACATTCTGTCCAATATTCTTAAAAAAATAATAATAATAAATAAATAAATAAAATCAAGGATACTCCATTTAATATCGGACCAATGGTAATATATGACTTAAAAAATTCACATAAAGACAGCATTTTGTTCTGGAGCACCTCCATGAGTCGTGCACTTACCCCAGGCACTGTTTCAGTGTTTTTTTCTCCAAAAGGGAAAATGAAAGATTGAATTTAATGATATTTCATTCTCAAACTGAAATGTCATAGTTCAATAACAAAACAACAATAAATCTAGTGGTGCTTTGTCCCAACCATAAGCCAAAGCTGATGCATAGCTCTGATCAATGCCTTTGTGTATTATGCATGAGAACATACTGAGAAAGAAAGAAATACACACTCATTAATGAGGCTGTAAACTCGGAGAACTTTATCAAGCAGGTAGTTGTAGAAGCTGCCCAGTATTCCACCAATGACTCCGAGAACAATCGCTGGTGGTAGATCGACAAGCTGGTATGTGATGTTTACTGAATTCACATCAAACATAATCAGACCACCTTTTCCAAATAACCCGCACTTGTCGGATTTGCAAAAATCTATTAGAGCCCGAAGCACAACGGCTGTGGTTGCTGTTGTGAAGAAAGTTCTCCATAGAAGGGCACTTCTCCACCTGCACAACAGATTCTGCAGATTAAACCTAAGTGACTCACTTAATAAATGTTGTTTGACAAATACTATTCATTAAAATGTGAAAAAAATTCATTTCCTAGGTCTTAAGTAGCCCTCAAATTAAAACTCTTATCAAGAAAATTTTATGGGGAATATGAAAGAGAACATTAATGAAAACTCTTTTCAGAATAGGGCTAATCCAATATATTAATTCAAGGAAAATTTCAGTCTATATATGAGAAGCATCTCAGCTAGACATGGGAGTGAAACCCAAGTCACGACCAAAATCAATTCAACTGCCACCGTCCATGGTTGACTGCAGAAACAGAAGACGTGTTCAACTCAAGAAATTTGTGCATAAGAAAAACCTGAATCCAACATTAAAAGGACTGAATATCCTTTCTTTGGGGGTGCATGCCCTAGAATGGGTAAGGGCCCCACTAGTACATCAACTTGTTTCAAGGAGTAAACTTTAATGTAAAACATAAAAAAAAATATAGAAACAGAGTTATGGTATAGTTAAAATCAACCACATATATCCGTAAATCCAAACTTATGCAAGAATAAAATCGAAAGTCCGAGCAAGGAAGGAATAACCCAAAGTCCGCAAGGTTAATGCATTAAGTGCAAAATATATAAAGATATGATACACAGAAGCAAATGAAGCACTTAATCAAGTGCTTTTGCCATCTTTAATCCTGTTTTCTCATTCTTTACTTCTTAATAGTTTGGTAACTTGTATTGTTTGGATCCGACACACCAGCTAGACTTATCCATCAAAATTTAGAAACCATACAAAAAATTAAGAAAAAGAGCTGAGGTAGTAACAAGTTAACTGTAAAAAATACAAAAGCATAAAACACATAGGGAACATATATCACACTCTAATGGACCATGGAAAACACTTTTCCATTGGGGTCATGGCCGTCTGATTAAATGAATATCGATAGAGAGAGTAGAACACACTCTTATCGAGTTGGTGTGTGTCCTGCAGTGTGGATCCCAGTAACTATCCGTCATTGTCCATCATTTTACCATACATTCATAACCCAATGGAGGGTAATGGTTTTCCATCGTCCATTCAACTGTAGGATATTTTTCCTCTAGCATGATCCAATTTCACAAGTACCATGATGATGCTTCTTCGAGAGCAAACAGAACACCACCAACTGGAGCACGAAAGGCAGCAGCAATACCAGCAGCTGAGCCACATGTTACAAGATCCCTCCTATCTCTGTCATTTTTAAAGTATCGCAACCATTTGCAAGTTAAATGGTATTTCTTTGACCCTCCCTGGCTTAGTAATGATGCAATACAAGCACCAGTATGTACCATAGGGCCTGCCTTTCCCACATTGAGCGATGCTGAGACGGCTCCAATGCTACCTATAATCTGCAATTGAGCAAAAATATACCAGGGACTCATTCATCAAATAAAAGAAAAAGATATACCATAGGCCTGTATTGATTCATCAGTAGTGTAACAAGGGAAAGCACATTCTATCATATTCATTTCCAGAAGATTGCAAGAGTCATAGAAAGAAAAAGGAAATTGGACAAGGGTCCAGACCCAAGGGAGCAAGAATAACCATCGGTTTGGGTATTTCTGAATTTTTTACAAGGTTATTTAATAATTTAGTATATGTCCAATGGGCGTCTCCACCCTTTCATCATATTCTATTTCAAGTCATAAATTCGAAGTTTCATGGTTTTGTCAGTTCCATTCCTTATTAGTGCAGGAACTTTAAATCTTGAAATTGATTGAAGGTAGATGATATCATGTAAGGTTTATTACCAGGACTATGCAGCTCTGCCATTATGTTGCTTTGTGTTAATCAAAGGAGAATAAAGGGACATGTGAATACATTTGCACACCACAAATTAAAGAGGTATGCAAGCAGAACAATAGAGGAACTAAAATTTTAGTTCAACATATTCATGTACACTCCCAATTTTGAGAAATTTATTAGGCACAGGTGCATACAACTTCTCACAACATATCATACTCCTGGTATATATCAATATCAGTGTTTTTGTTGGAGATGGTACATTTTCATAATTTTTCTTTGGATATCATTAGGCCAGCTAGCAAGATATTCCAGTCCCTTTAGGTATTGATGGCAACAAGGAGGAGATCTAGGTTACCTCCAAGGCTATGACATTACCTTTCATAAACAAGGGCTACATCCTTTATTACAAGCACATGGATGAGAGGATCTGTGTCGGTTTCAGATTTGAAGAACATGCTCACCTCCCTATATTTTGCCGAGTCCAGTATGACATGTCCGTACAGTGCATGCGTGTATATTAAAACATCAAATTAATCTATAACTTTTTAACAATAAAATCACCTTAAAAAATAAAACATGTAGCTCCAAATCAAAGACACATGTCCAAATCAGAAGACATGCATGTCATACAAAACGGACACGCATATCTTACAATGCGGAAATGCATATCTTACAAACAGGACACAGGTGTCTTGTTTGTCCAATCTGTGGAGACACATGTCCACACAGCGGACATGGCGTGTTTGTGAATCCACAAAATTAAATATTTACAGAGACGCATGTCAACATGGATTTCCCATGTCTATATGCAGATCGACACACTTTTAAGTGCATTGGCGTGTTGGATTCTCCTAAACACATGCAACACGCATATCATTGCTACATAAGTTACACCATTGGGATTTTATTCCTATCTTTGTAAAATCTTGAGCATAAAGCATTTGCATCTTCATTCCTATGATTGAAACTTTTGTAAACATGCTTATCACAAAGAAAATACTGAAATATTGAAGGTCAAAAGCTCAATTTGAACAAGATACAGATGTATATAGTTTCCATGACATCATAGAAGCAACAAGCTCATTTTCCAGTTCTCCACATTACAATCACTAAAGCATAAAGGGAGAAACCAACTAACAAACTATCCTTTCATCGCTTTGATAAGTAACAAGATTGTGCCTTATCAAAAGTAGGAACAAGATTATTTACCCAGAAAAAAGGAACAAGATTACCAGACAATTGACAACGATGTGAAGTCTTCTGATAAGATTAATTCGAAGAGATGATGAGAAAAGAAGGAATTAGAGCAATATCTGAAGTTTTGAAGCATAAAAAAGCTCACTTTAATGATTAGAGTACGTAAAGAAAGGATTTCTGGGGCATCGACACCATTCAAATAGGCCTTGACTTCTGGTATGCCAGATCCTGCAGCCGCAGGACCAATACATGCAGTGATGATTGATGAGAATAGAGTGAGAAAGAAGTTAAAGCTTGCAAAAACTGCAAATGCTTGAAAATATCTGCAAAAAAAATTTATTTACAACTCTAAGTTTACTTGATTAGAACAACAATTCATTCAGGGAAAACTATACTATAATCCAATGGACGATGGAAAACCATAATCCATTGTTCATCACCACCTGATGAAATGATAGACGATGACGGAAAAACAGAGTGCACCATTTACTATTCTGGAGGTTCCCATGCAATCATCAAAGTCCATCCTTTCACTGGACGGTGATGAGCCCAGTGTTGCCATAGTGTATTACATTATATTATACTCTCCCCTTATTTCAATCAAGAAGATATATGCAAGAAAGAGATCTTACTTATTGGTACGCATCAGATTGGAAGTTATGACGAACTTGATCCCAGCTACATTCTCAACAGCTAAATTATTGAAAAAGCCAACCAAGGCAGTTAAAATGCCTAATAGAAAGCACAATGTCCACTTCAAGAATATATACTGAAGTATATGCCCACAGCCACAATTTCGCCAGTCCTGCTTGAAGAAGTCATTCTCAAATATCCTGCGAATATTAAGTATGAATTTTTTAGGACAATGCAAAACCAACCATAACTGTTATTGGGTAACTATACTATAATTTGGTGCAGTATAGAAACAATAGTTCACTGAGATCCCCAGTGTTAATTGAAATAATGGAGAGATAATAAAAACACCAGAACAGGATATGACCCCAGTTGAAGATCCCGCTCTCCCTTAGCACTGTACAACATTCCATTAGACAGCAATGACTCCATGGAGTACAACTTCGTATAAAGGGTCATTTGCTAATAGTGTACTTGGGAAAGCGAAGAGATGTGGTAAATCCGCATAATCCCTACTTCTCCGATGGTGCTCCATGCACGGATAGCAGCTTTTGTTATGGCAAGCCCTTATAGCATTGTAAAAATCAGCAAAATGCCACTTTTCAACCCTCATCTACAATAGGAAAGAAGGGAAAAAAAGGAACCCCATTCCAAATAAACTGTATAAACTAGATTTGAGCAGTGAATCTATTGAGAACCATATTATCGCGTTGTTTTTTTCATTCCAATGAAAACACAGTATAATAAATATAATGAATGCATGGTGGCATCTGAGCTATACCAGAGACAAGTAGAAACAATCTGAATATCCCTAGAAGACTTTTCAGGATCCATGCATTTCACTATATTTCTAGACACCAAAAATTAAGCATATTGAATTCTTTATGACATTGAAATTTCACGGAAATTAGTTCAACTCGATGTTAATCTCAAAAGGATACAGTAATTCTTTACCAATATCTATATATAATCAGAATTTCATGTTCTAGTGCATATAGATCACACTTAATTTTCAATCAATAAAAGCTTGAGCAAATACAGAAATGAATGGCTCAGCAGAACTTTAGATGGATCCATTCAATAACAAGGGGTAGAAAAAAAAGAATCTCATATATACTGCAAATCAGTTCTTAAGAAACTAAATCCAGAATGTTTAATCAAAATGCAAAAGATGAAACTCAGATAGCCATCAGGAAATCTCAGAGGCTAATTAAGGTGAAAACCAAAAAATGAAAAGAGCCAATGACCATGAGGAAAATTGAGATAGAATTAGTAATCCCCTATGAGAAAAACTGAAACTAGTAAATGGAAAGTCCTATCCACTAAAACAAACAAGTAACATCCGGCATAAATCACTGTGCTGGGAAATAATCAAGGCAGCAGAAGACAAAATTAAAAATAAAAAGCAAAACAAATTAGGAATCTGTAAATCCCAATGATCCATTGAAATAAGCAAAATAGTCCATGAATCAAAATACAGGTAATCATGAGAGAAGTTTGAAGTGAAAACTACTGAGGAAAAAGAAAACCAAATAGAATTCAAGAAAAACCTCCCCAAGTGTTGAGAAAAGCCCATCTTCCATAAACCATGGTACATGTCGATTGTTCTAGATAACCAAAAGCCAGACGATTTGGGTAAGATTAAAACCATTTTTGCACTGTAAAAAATCATACACCCCTTTTTGAAAACTCCCATCATTCACAATCCACAGTACGGATGATTCATGACAGAGACAACCCAAAGATTCATGAGCAAATAACATTAGAGAGAGAGACAGTTATGAGCAAATAAAATAAGAGAGAGAGAGAGAGAGAGCAAAACCTCAAGATATCAACCATAGCTAAAAATCCATTCTTTACAAAACCCATATCACAAAACAACTAAAATAACAGAAAACCAGTAGAATTCAAACACGAAACTCACTCATAATCGAGACTCTCAATGGGGCAAACATTAGCCCCGACAATGGCGACCTGCGAAGTCCTGTTCGATTGGATACTCCTCAAAACCTGTTGCTCCTCTGATGATTGTTGCTCTAGAGGGACACACACCTCTGCAAGTAGTGGGGTCTCTATCGTTTCTCTCTCCATGCCTTTCTATCTCTTCTTCTTCTTTCTCAACTATTGATTCTTCAACTGAAACCATCATTAGAATGGTCCAAGGAGTTACTGGGTTTCGTTGAATTGCAGTTGCAGAGAGAAAGAGAACTGTTGGGGAGAAAACTGACAGGTGGGGCGGGGTCATTCATTTTCTCTGAGATTTTATAACCTGTGATCTGTAAAAACAGAGAAAAAAAAACTAAGCTTTTAACAATTTACAGTTGGGATAGGTCCCATGAATCAAACTCGGTCTACCATTCAGAGAAATAGATGGAGAAGGTACGGATTGCGTTTGTAGACCATGACCTCCTTTGACTATTTATAGCGATGTGGATTTCGAGTTACAGATGATTTTAACTTGAAATTAATAGCAAAACTCACACTCTCTCTCTCTCTGTGACTATGCATGTCGTTGAATTGGAGTTACAGGAAATTCGTAATTCTCTCTCCCTTTCTTTCTCTAAAAATCTCTCTCTCTAGCCCAGTGTACCTCTCTCCATATCTCGTGCACCCTTTTGGAGCATCAATTTTGGATAACGTTTTAGGGGGAATTATCAGGGCGTTTGGGATTATCAATAATAACAAAATCTCTTATTATTTATTTAAACAGACCATTAACTTTACTGTGTGGTTTGCATAGAGCTAGGCAATAAACAATTAAAATAACGAGCACCTTCAAACAGGGTGTGGTTTTGATGCTGAAAATCTTTGTAATAGTTTTACAATATATTTTTATTTTTAATTATAAATTTAAAGCATGTAAAATGAGGGAATCTATGAAAATGGAAGGCATTTTCAAATAAGAAATGTGATTTCAATATTGAAAATATTTTGATAGCTTTAAAATATATTTTTATATTTAATTATAAAATTTAAAACTTCAAAAAGAATATAGAATGAATAAATTTATAAAAATATTAAAAATCGACTGTCCAAAATTACAGATGCACTATTTTAAAAACTTAAATCTACAAAAAAGGTTACAACTATTCTTACTAGTTATATAATAAATTTGATGGCTTGAGAGACTCATGAAATTTTTATGTCAAATCAATGATACCATCACAAGTACCTCTCTTTTGGAATTTATCAAAGCAAAAGGAACTGTGACCTCTTTATTTTTGGCTCCGTTGCGGGGCGTTATACATGCTTTTTTTTTTTTCCTTTCTTTTTTTTTCTCATTAATAATGACATTTCTTCTCTTCATAAAGGTGGCAATAGGTGGAGGGGCCTCCGCCCTAAAAAAACAGAGGTAGGGCCGGGCCAGACTTTGGGCCTCCTTGGCTCCCAGGTGGCAATAGGCTAGGCAGCCTTGCCCATACTAGCCCTTAAAAATTGGGGCACAGGTCAGTATGTAACTCAAATGGCAGGCCACCATGGCCCAATGGCCAATATGGGCCGGACTTAGGGCCACAACAGGTCGTACCTGTTTTTTCGAATTGGGCTCCTTGGCAGCTAAGCCAAGGTGCCCAATTACAGTTCAATTTCTCTCTCGTTAAACGCCATCTTTTCCTTCTCTTTCTATTTCTTTCATTGAACTTAAGATATGAGAGAGAGACGCATGACTTGGAAGTAGTTGACGTGTGTTTTTCAAATTGGATTTATTGGCGGAGTTTTAATTTGAAAGGGTACTGTTGGAAAAGATAAATAAGTTTAAGTAAGGAAAAAGGCACCCTAAAACTCATGAAAAAATGTTGTTTTGTCATTAGAAAACCTTCCAATTGATCATCTTCTATGAATATGAAAGAAATTTTAAATTTTAAATATTAATAATAGTACATCTTATTATGTAGACTATCCATTACTCAAGATATTTAAGTGTTAAGGTTAGATTTGAGCTTTTAATTTCTTAATAGAGGTGAAAATTACATTTTTAAACCGATCATAAGAGTTTGGGCACCTAAAATACATCTTATAACTAGATTTTGGGGTGCACCAATTGTTTAAAGGTTCACACCTTATACAAACCTCACTGGCCTTGTTGTTTGTTTAAGGATGAGGTTTCTATAAGGCCTAGGCTTTATGAAAGTAAAATAAACCCTTATTTCAAATCCTCATATGGAAAGCACTTTTGGAAATGAAAATCTCCGTGATGGCTGTAAAATCAATTTCCAACATTGATCATGAAATTCAAAACTAAAAAAATGATACATATCTTGCTTATATATGAACACTTATTTTTAGGGTGAAACAGACGATCTAGATAATTTGTTACAATATAAACTATTTTTAAAGCTTGAAATTCTATATTTTTTTTCACAGCCATAATGTTTCAAGCCAAGATGATTGATGTAAAGGTTTTTTTGATGCTTGAATAACAATTTTTAATGAGTTATGAGGTGATAGAATAACAACTTTGGTTGATAAAGTATATTATGCGTTAAATAGATATTGTTAAAAATATATTGAAGTTAAATATAGTATGTACTAGTGTATATGACCCTATTTACTAAATATGTAGTCTTCAACTAAAAATACTAAATTTTAAATATACTCATGATATTACTAATTGTAAATAATTCATAATTAAATTTTATGTAACTAAATATTTCAATGATCGCCATTCAATAATAAATATTTCAAAACAAAATGTTTATGGCGAATTTCTAGATTTCTACAATGAGTTATGAAATACTTAAAAAGATTCTTCATATTTTTTTACAAAATCAATAATATATGTTATATATACTAATAAAAAATTGTTTTAAATAAAAAGTCAATATGAGCTAGAATGTCTTGCTAATAATCGTATAATTAGTGTATATACTATTATTTATGTTCTGTGAGTCCTATTCCTTATTGTATTGAAGTTGGCAAATAACTATTCTTTATATTTATTTACGATAATTATCGTATAATTTTAAAATTGATTATTTCAATTATTCACATTTATTATTTGATGTTAAGATTAATATTGTTTAGTTATGGCTACATTTTTACATGCATTGCACGTAAATCCACTAGTAATAATATAATATAATAGCAACAACAATTATAACAAGGTTACACATAAATATTATAATTATACAATAATATTAATATTATAAAATAGATAATATTGTATCGCAATATTAAAATTAATATAATACGATATTGATATTTTAGACTAATGATGTAGTATTATAATAATAAATAATGATATTATATGTTCATTATTGTAATATAATATTATGACAGTATATTATATTATAATAATGCTAATCTTAAAGATATTTTGTAATAATTTTCAATTTAGTAAAAATATTAAAATGTATTATTGTTTCTAATAATAAATATTTACAAATAATAATAAAAATAATAGAATTTT